TAAAAAATATTTAAATGTACAATATGAGCATCGAAGAGTTTTGTTATGTCTCTTGTGAAACCTCTGCATATTTAATAAAGGTGCATCCATTTTTATTTTCTAAAGGAAATATAGTAAGAGTTTATAAAGAAACATTGTCTTAATAAAAGTTCGCGACGTCTGTAAAAACTGAAACGAATCTGAAAATTGTACTTTACTAAATATTTTACAGAATTCTAATGCAATCTAAATATAGATTAAAAGTCACGTTCTAAAAGATATCTGCAAAATTGTCATTGGATCTTTCGGAGTACTTCAGTCTGACATGCAGACGACACTGACATAGCTTTTTTATACAATGGTTTAAGAAAACATTTGCTCTAAGATCAATGTGGTACGTGACCTGAATATTTATATGCTATAAGAAATATCTCCATTCGTCTTCTAAAATATTATGCTCAATAAAAGTTTTCAAATTGCACGCATCATATAAATATATACATTTTTTGTATTTTGAATGGTCGCAGAAATATGTTTTATTATGTATCATAAATTTTTTTATATATTTATTATCCTGTTTTTATTTTAAATTAGGCTATTTTTTTCCATGTACTGAAATGAATCAAATTAGAACTAAAATATAAATAGAATTTAAACCAAAAATATTTTAGTTTTTAGTTTATGTCTTTCTAAATTCGCCTCTGATAATTTATAAATATTTGATACATTATCAAGTGGCACAACTTGAGGTGCATTTTTAGAAGTAGTTATTGTGACATTTTTTTGGACATGTATTTGTAAGATATTTACAAAGTCTTTAAAAATCTATTTCGTTAACAATTAATCCATAATCTGTTTTTGATAATTTTATAACAATCTTAAACTAACTCTTACAAATAAATGTGCATTTGTCAATTTTAGTTACGATCATTATTATGCTTACAATTTTCCAGTGAAAAAAAATAATCACTTATAAATTAAATAAAACCTGATACATCTACTGGTTCTTACCTCAAGCTGCATGGATATCAGCATTCTTCGCAAAATTGCCCAGAGTCTAGTTTTTCACACACACACACACTTTGTTTACGCGAAATTATGCAAATTGATTTATTTGGCACTTTTTTTTAAATAATTTACGCGGATTTAATTACCTATACACTCACTTTTATTTTAAGAAGTCATTTTTATTAAGCTGAAATAAAGTGGATTAGTGAAGGATACGGTCACAATTTTGTCCACACTAAATAATTATATAATCAGTTAATTATATAATCATACAAAATCTCCTATTTATAACCTAGTTTGCGGTTCGACCTATCTATAAGACAAATTATCGACGTGTGACCGTACCCTTAGAAATCATGCCTAGAAATGAAAATGCACTGACCTTTGTTTAAAATCACCGATTCTTCTGGAACATCCCGATTACCAATTTGTTGTCTGAAAATAGAGAAAAAATGATAATTTTGCAATAAATTATGAAGTATTAATTTGTGCTAAAAATTGGTGCATTACCTCGTGATTTCCAGAAGAGAGCTAACCGGAAACCAAGAACCAAAAACGAGGAACCAGGAACCAGAAACAAAAACTATACACTATCACTTCACTAACGCATTATAAAGGCCTTTATTAGCTTTATTAGCTAGAACACTACACAAACACTAAAAAACGATAAACAAAAATTAATCGGATTAAAAAAATCGCTCAAAAATCGAGAAAAAATCATCACTACGACACCAGGCAAATATTTTGACCACAAATGAAGTTCTTTTTGAATACTATTGCTCATCACTAATGGAATTTAGATGGATTTTATTAATAATGATGTTCTTCCCATATACATAATGATCACCACTAACTATAACATACATAGAGATTTGTTTTTTCTTTTGCATCTCCACTCTTATTGTTGGTCCTTGTAAATCTTTGCATATTTTGACTTCATAAAGGAATAAAGTCCAGTTTAGTAATTCTATTTGGTTTTGGCAAGAAATTCTATTAAAATCATCTTTGAGACTGGGGTCAATTACGGGGTCCTTATCATCGCGAGTTCCATAGAAATCCATTTTCTGGTTTAATATTCCTAACATCTGGTAAAATTAGAACCTTAGATATTAACAATTAAAATGTCTATTGCATTCAAGATTCATTAGTTGGTCAAGTCTTTGTGGTCAAACTTATTTGCAAAGTCTTGCACAACACTAAAACAAAACACTTGGTCACAAAACGCACTAAAGTCCAATTAGATTTAACCAAAAATCTACCATATTTGTCCTTGTACTCTTTAAATAGTTTTCATTTACTTGTAACATTTATGTCCTTGGATTTTATGTATGTTTTATAATATTAAGTTGACTTTTTATTGCAGTAAGTTGTTTACTTTGTTTTTGAAATGTCTTTAAGGACCCCTGTTCTCAGAATTGGATTTCTGCTGAAAAATAAATAAATATTTAAAAAAATGCAATTTTATCAAATATAGTCTATATATATATATATATATATATAATATATATATATATATATATATATATAAATAAATAATAGGGTAGTCTTTAATATTGACATTTTCGATTTTTATTGCTCCCAGAGACGTAAATGCTTCCAAATTAATAAAAAAAAAATCTCTAAAAGTTTTAGCTCTTAATATTAATTTTTTGATAGAACGCAATTCAATAAAAGCTTAATCAGGAAATAGCATGAAAAAAAATTCGAAATTTTTAAAAATGTTTTATTTTAGGTATAACTTAGCGGCAAATGAATTAAAAGTGACAATTCGTGTCATCTTTTATTGAAAATTCGATGCTCTGCAAAACAGGTTATTTTAATTTGTTTTGTAGAGCGTCGAATTTTGAATAAAACTCATTCATTTGTTCGCTAAGTTATATCTAAAAAACATTTTTAAAATTTTTGAAAATTTTCCCATGCTACTTCTATACAAAACTTTGATTGAATTGCGCACTATCGAAAAGACAATATTAAGAGCTAAAACTTATCGAGGATTTTTTTATCAATTTGGAAGCATTTGAGCCCCTGGAAGCAAGGAAATTTGAAAATGTCCATATTAAGGACCACTCATATATATATATATATATATATATATATATATATATATACATACATAAATCAATTCTTAATTTATGTATCTACAGATCTAATTCAACTCAGATTAAATTATTCGTTTTGATGCAAATATTAATGTACAAATAGATCAGATTAAATCTACATCACGACCTAAAAGCTCGGAGCTTTTAACGCATATCGCATATGTAAATATGCATGCACGTTTTGGAATTAATGTCGGTGTGATTTTTATTAATAGATTTCGAATGGACTTGCAATCTCATGTTATCTAGAATCGATGCTTTAAATTCTGTACCATTTTAAAATTAATGGAAAATAGAGTTCATGGTAGAATACTTTTCATGGAAATATATCCCACGTGCATGCAATATACGTCAGATTTCAGGTTTTAAAAACTAAGAATTGGAGCTACTATGTGCGGATTATTGAAGTAAAACTTCTTTTGGCGCGACCAGGGTGTAAATCGGTACAAATGCAACGGAAGTGTGTTACGGCAGATGAGATAAGATAAGAGTCGATTGCCAATGATTCATCATTCGCTCTCTATGATATCATTTTTATACGGGTCGATTGTGATTAGTCGTCGCGTATGTGAATAGAGATCTGTCGTTGTATGCGTACTGATATCAACAAGGAAATCAGCATAAGTAAATAAATACCTTAAGCTTACATCGTAGTACAAATCTTGATTTAATGAAAAATGTCTGAATCAGAAGAATATTTTACCCTGTCCCCCCCGTAAATAATTGTAATGAAAATATTATAATAAAACAAATGCAGAATTTGCGCCGTGTATGAAAGATAAGTTTATTGAAATAATTTCTATATTATTTGTAGTTTCTATAAATCTTTGAAGTTATTGAAATGGAAAATATTTTTAGGTAAAACAGATATTACAGCTATTCGAAAAAATAAATACCATCAATCAATGAATGTATGTTAATTTTAATTGCATGAGGTTCTTCAAACACAATTACATGATGAGTAAAGTTGCAAAACAATATTTGTTTAGGCGTTGTTTAACATAATCTACTGTGTGAACGAATATTATAGAATTTATAAATCAGCTATTACTTCATTTCTCTAATGAAGGTTCATTTCTAAATGCTAATTACAATGACAACCGATCATATCATATTTGAAGTATGACATTAATCACATTTGCTTTTAAATATTATACATATTTTTAATGCTATTATAAATATATCATTTATAATTTATTATTATATAAATGTGTATAATGGTTGACACTAATAAATGTGTGCAGTTGCCATTTTACTAATAAATATTATTCAAAATTGTTATACGATTAATTTATTTTTACACAAATTAAATTTGCTACTTTGTACATTAACAAATAAGTTTTACTTCAATCGCGTGTGATCCTTACGCGCGCTCCTTTTGTTTATACCACAATAAAAAAAAACAAAATCAACAGTTAATTTTAACGAGTAAGCTTACGAAAATGCTGCATTTTTAATTTAGTATTTGTATAAAAATAGAACAGTTAATTAAGGAGATTTGTGGACAAAGTTTCATAAAATATTCAGGTCATTCGTGATATTCTGTTAGTTTATACTGAACGAAACTTTTTGACATATTTGCCCAGTTTGGCGAGTAGCTCATAATATTCTTTTTATCTGTTTGAACAGATTTAATGCAGAAAATCATTTAGAAATTACGAGAACGGTCTTATATATATATATATATATATATATATATATATATATATATATATATATATATATATATATATATATATATATATTAGGGTGGTCCTTAAAAGGGTCATTTTCGAATTTCCTTGCTCCCAGGGGCTCAAATGGTTCCAATAGATAAAAAACAATTCTCTGAAAGTTTTAGCTCTTAATATTAACGTTAGATAGAGGCAATTCAATCAAACTTTGTATGGAGAGAGCATGGAAAAAAATTTGAAAATTAAAAAAAAATGTTTTAGGTATAATTTAGCGACAAATGAATGAGTTTTATTCATTCATTTGTTCGCTAAATTACATCTAAAAAACATTTTTAAAATTTTTGAAAATTTTTCTATGCTATTTCCATACAAAACTTTGATTGAATTGCGCTCTATCTAAACGTTAATATAAAGAGCTAAAACTTTCAGAAAATTGTTTTTTATCTATTTGGAACCATTTGAGCCCATGGGAGCAAGGAAATTCGAAAATGACCATTTTAAGGACCACCCTAATATATATATATACACACACATATATATATATATATATACATATATACACAGTATATGTGACCGGGGTTTATTATTAAACTGTATATGGCCTGCCATAAAAATCAATAAGCAATTAAATAGATACCACATTTTCATCAGTTCTGATAAAGCCCTATAACATCATTTACGCACTATGGTACATTACATACACACATTTATGTATTTATATGAGAAAGTCTGGCGATCGTACAAAATAATTGCTGTACTACATATCATGCATATAAATATACCCCTCCTAAACGATTATTCGGATTTTGATAAATCTTTCTGAAGTTTGTTAAGAGATTTTTTAGGATGTATGTGATTTTAAAAATAAAATAATATTGTAGAAATGAACGGAAAAGTTTGTCATTGAAAACATTTTGATACATGAAAACTGTCATCTGGCAAAAATGTCGATTCACTTGAAATTTGAATTTAGTTTAAGCGAGCCTAGACAATATTAGTATATAATATCCATGTTCATGATTATGATTAAGAAACATAATATCTACAATATTATTGCCGAAAACCAGCTGAGATGTGCCAGAAGTTTAAAGAATATAAGATACAATATATGTTTGGCAGATGAAACCATATAATTTAGATTAATAAATAACAATACGTCCAAAATTGCATATACATTATTTTTTTAAACTTATGCATGTTGGATTTTGGGTTCCTTCACCAAATTATTTAAATATAAAAGAATATTTCTACTTATTGAAAAAATTATTTAGAATTTAGTTCTATGTGTTAAAAATTCATTTGTTTCATCATGATCTTAGATTTAATAGTGCTATATGAACTATATTTTAAAAATCAATTCACCTAAGATTTTAAATAAAGTAATAATTTTTATTAAATTATTAGTAAAAAAAATGTAATTTAGAAATTGTAATTGCCAAAAAGCAACTAATATAGGGTACGCGATTATAAAAATTATAGATTATTATATATTATATAAATTATTGAAGCGATTATATTAGTTGGAAATAAAGATTTTATTCTTTTACTTCAGATACTATATTTATTCTTTCTGAATTTCTTATACTCAAAAAACTGGATTATGTATATAGCTTATGCTAAGACCATAAATGGAAGGACATTAAATAGAATATTAAAAAGTATAGGAATATATAAAAGTATATTAAAAAATTTGAAACTTAAATTGTAGATGGTGGATACAGGACAACGTCTCTCGGGCCATCTAGTATATATATATATATATATATATATATATATATATAAATTAATCAAGCAATTTTATTCAATTGCACGAATACCATATTAGTGCACAACTACAATAAACAAATAATAATTCAAAACGCAATTCCAAGTAACGTTTTTAAATTAAATAAATAAAATACCATGATTACTTCGTCATTGAAAAATAATTGAAGTAGGATTAAAAAATGTTTCGTATATTTTCTTAAAACAACACCTTTAAAAAATAAATCGCTTCTAATGCATTTCCAATTAGATGTAATAAAGCTTTAAAATTAATTGCACTCAATTCTCTTGTTTATTCCGCATTCTTATAATTGCATTAATTTTAATCGACAAACTTTTATCATTCGTTTGTAAAGGACAAACTATGATGAGATTTGAGAATATATTCAAAAGTAGTAAAATAAAATTTAAGTTATTTTAAGAAAATACTTTTGTTAATTTTAATATTTACTTAATGAAGTAATAAAGTAGAAAATATAAATCAAAAGTAACTTATCAAAAACTGTTATTGGTTAATTATGGCTTAAATGTTTTATTTTTCTTACGCGATTTGCATCTCAGATTATGGCTGATTTGTATGCAAAATTGGCAACATTTTGGTGATCTGCCAAAATGACCCTTTATTCCAAATATTTTTACTTACACATTCAAAAAAAAATTTCTATAATTAATTTGACAAAATATGTAAAAATAAACTAGTTGAAAGTGGCATTTAGCCTTAAGGCAAGTTGCATAAACTTCCCGAAATGTGTGAAAATTGACTTAATCGATCAAAATTAAAATTTAGATATTTAGATAAAATTTTCAAACTGTTCAAATCAAAATAAAGTTATCGCTTTCAATTAAATCTAAGCATTGCGATTTTGAATATAATTTTTTTGAACACATTTAAATTAACTATAATTATTAATTATATTGCATATACACGTGTATTAATGAAATAACAATGTTTGACTTATCACATGACAAAAGTAACTTTTGACACAAATTTTAACTATTTTTTTCTCAAACTTTGATAAATTTTTAACATTAAACTATTTGTCGTGGGGCCGAAACATTTTAGTATGATCTATAAGACTATGGTATCTAACGTCAAAAAAAATTCAGAGCCAATATCTTTCGAACGGTTTTTGAATTTTCAAAATCGATTCAGAATTGCGGGCTAAAACGTGGACGAAAAACTTTCCACTTTTCTGCTATTTACAAAGAAACGGCTTGACTGATCGTTGCGCAAAACTGAGAAACAAAAATCTATTCCGAAGCATATGTGTGTTGTATGTATTCGTAGATATCTACTGATTACAGCTGACGTCTACACGTTAATAAAATATATGTTCATACCAAATAGATAATAGATAATGAAAGTTATTAAACAAATTAATATAATTTTTAGTAAAAACTATATTTACTAATTATATACTAAAAATTATGAATACATAAACTCATTAGAGATTAACCCCGTGATATATTTAATCCTCGATCACTAGCCTCCTATTTCTATTAATTACAGAAATAAGTGTGTTTAAAAGACATTAATTGGAAATCATATTGATTATTTTTAAGTGAAAGGAAAGATCTTTTCTTGATGATGCCCTGTTAAGAAAAAAAATCCAAGCAACCTATAGTACTAAAGTTAAAAAAAAGTTTTATTACAATATAATTAGAATTTTACAATATGTTTATTTATGATAATATCTTATGTTAATTATGTTTATTTAATAAAATTATTCATTTTCCAGGATACAGCCGGCCAAGAGAGATACAGGACGATAACGACGGCGTACTATCGTGGAGCAATGGGTTTCATTCTGATGTACGACATAACAAATGAGGAAAGTTTCAACAGCGTGCAGGATTGGTATGTTTCAAACACTTGAAAATAATTCGCATAAAACAATACACTACACGTCTGGAACATTATTGAAATACAAACACGTCAGAACAATAGTTTATTTTATTATCGGATCATTCATTTGAACAAGTTTGACTTCTGAGATAAATTTAGTTTTGCAAATAAACGTTCGAAAGTTTTGTCTTTGAATATACTCGTACAATGCTGTTAAGAAGTCATTGATCTTATAGTACCTATAATATACTTTATAGTGCAGGTTCAATAAAAAGGACCGATAAAACAATTAACTTTTACGGTGATTTCTAAAGACAACACTAATATTCGAACCGTCTCAGCTTAGATTAAGGGCATCTCATCATGTAAAATCAAATAGAGAGAAATATGAAACCATCTAGAATACGGGGGTATTCTAATTTGGAATTAAATAAAAACAATTATTTTTTATATATTATAAAGATTCATTATTTAAGAACTTATTTAAGAATTTATTTGTACAAAAATATTCTTCAAGATTTAAATTATTTTCGGTGATATATCTGTTTGACCACGAAAATCCTCCTAATGTTTTCCTTCTACGCGAAATATTGAACAAGTCCTTTTCGATACGATACCCTCGATTTTCTAATTTCTACTTGGCCGATTTACTTAAATTTACAGAGTTTTCTTTATGAACTTTATCTTCAGTATGATCTACGCTCATCCCCAAATTCTGAATTCTACTATTTTAAAAAAATTCTAAAATATAAAAAAACGCTGTAGAAAATTTTTTTTCAGATATTCGCTATTTCGTAAAAAAAACTATTTTTTATAACTTGTCATTATTCTCAAATCATTTCTCAAATTTAAAAAAAAAATAGTGAAAATATTACCTGTCCTTTTTACAGCCTTTCAAAAAGCGCCTAAAATTTATGCCTCTAGATTGGAAAAACCACATCAAATTAGAAATCACTTCTCAAAAGAGCTTGTATTTTAAATTACTCTACAAACATTTATATTTAAAAAAATACTCTATATAATATTTGCAAGACACGTTTAATTACTTTTATAAATAATCTGTATATTTTAAATACACGTGATTAAAAATATAGAGTGACCGACTCCCTATAGTATTATATAAAATATAGTTTTTAATTAATATATAACAAAAAAAAAATATCATATTAAAGAAGATTTAGCTTGAGCATTTCACCAAAATATAGGCAGAATATTGAGTTTTTTGTTTGATATTAAAATATATATTGTTTTTAATAGATTCTCATCTAGATTATTAAATTAATACTAATTATATTGAAACACTCCAAAAGTTAATAATATACCGAGTTCGATTTTTATATTTTTTCGGATATTACTATATTTCGAAGAAAGGTTTGGCATAAATGAATTGTTAAAATACATATTTCAGTGTTTTAGAGCCTTTTATGCAAATTTGAATTGGTATTCAATCTGCATATATGTTTACAATGTACATATAATATGTATGTATAAATATGTATGTATATATAAATATTTTTTTTGTGAATAATAGAATATGTATATATGAATACTTTTTTTTTTTTTTGAAAACTCACTCAATTTTCAAGCTGGAAATATTTATGACAAATTATGTAAAAAAAGAACTGTTTAAATAATATCGAACCTCATTTTAAACTTTAAAAAATTTCTTAAATGAAATTATCAATTTCCAATTCTCAAATCATCCAAAACTTACAAATTATAAAAATTTGTTTCGTAATTAAATGAATATTGAATCACTCGAGTTAACTCGCATGATCCAAATTCAATGTAATCATAAATTTTGATCACATTATAGATACATCGATGTTTTATCTCTTAGCTTTTGTTATTAGAAAATAAAAAATTAGAAATTGAAATTATTAAATTAAAAAATTAGATTTACGAAGCTTATTTGTCTACATACAGACTTAATTCGAATCAGGTTTTTTTCTGATTTTTGAGTCAGTACTTATTTGAAAATAAGCTTCGTAACTAATTTTTCAATCCATATTTATTGCTATCGTCTAATTTTCTAATTATATTTTTTAATCTGTAGGGTAACTCAAATAAAAACGTATTCATGGGACAACGCGCAAGTGATCCTGGTTGGCAACAAGTGCGACATGGAAGACGAACGAGTCATTTCATATGAGCGCGGCAAACAGCTGGCTGAGCAGCTGAATGTCCAATTCTTCGAAACGTCAGCCAAGGAAAATATCAATGTCAAAGTAAGTATAGAAAGCATATGCTCGATGACAAATGATCGTGCCAATGTCAGCGAATTTAGAATTATCAGTGCGATTATCATTGCCACGGCGCAGTGGGCACGATTTCTTCCGCATAACGAGATGTCCATCGTCCCGAATCTAGTTTGAGATTATTTCAAGTGCACGAAATTGCTTCGAGTAGAGTATCTGCTTTAATACTACTAATAATGCAAATGTATATGCAACAATATATTCATTAATTTTATGTTTTGATGAAGATTGATGAAGATATATAATTATATATGTGCCTTAGACAAATGTGGGTGGGTCAAATTTTTAGCCACTGAAGTACGGTGCAATTATTCTATGGGTCATTTCAAATGATTTTTTCAATAAAGAATATTGCCCGGAAGTGAATTTGGAGTCAGCCAAGCTTATTATAAAGGTTTCCCTTCGCATATTTCAATGTCAAAAGAATCTCATGTTTACCCGCCTGGGAATCGGATGAAACTTCGCATGGTTATAGGGTTAATACATGCGGTTTAGTAAGGAATCATACAATCCCAAGAATTTACTTTTCCTCCTACGTGCTCCACAGTTTGTATAAAATTTTATAGTTATCTTCTTTGACTCCATTGTCTACCATCTGAGCAGTATCTATTAATATTATTTCATCGTAACCAAATCCATCCTAAGTTATCTATTGATGATCCATTCCAGCATTTTATGACAATTTACTGAACTGGAAAAATTAGTCACATTATAAAGAAAAATCATATCTTCATGAAAACATCAATTCCTCCAGTGGCATGCACAGATTCCAGACTTCAATCCTCAATCTTACAGATAATGTATTACTCTACTTTAAGATATCTCTTCTGAACAATCGTTCAAAGCTCCATGGGAACGGGTTCACAAGAAGTGGAATTTAATTTCCACCTGACATTTTCAAAAACTTGGGAAAAGTGTGCCAAAACGACTGGCAATAGTTAAAAAAATATAATGGCTTGAATATAATATTCCAACATATAGATGTTTATTTTCCTCAAAGAGTGCATTATTGTTTTAATGTAATGCTGGTTAAAAACCATTAATAACCTTGCCATCAGTTTGCGTATATAATAGGAAAAACAAATCCAATTAAAAATTAAAAAGTTTTATTTGCTCATAGGAAAAAAATAAGACCTCTTTTTCGAGAATAAAGGGTTCATTTACAAAACAATTATAATTCCGGTTTGGACCTACGGTGTAGGACGGTGGGATTCCAAAAACAAATCATACGTATCAAAACCAAATCTTAAGAATTTCAACGAATGCACCATGGTATATAATATATACTATATATCTAACGAACTACTACTTCGACAATTCCAACGGTTACAGTATATAAAAATAAAAAGTATTTTTCATATCAACAAGTTAGTTAGAATAATACACCAATCCAATCATCAAATCACTGTCCAGCCCACCAAAAAGATTTAAAAAAAAAATGATTCAATTGCCTACCTGAATACTCCTGACCCACCACATCTATCAGGAGTATTATGGGTTAGACAAAGTAAAAAATCGTCAAAATTTTTTTTTTTTTAAAAAAAACTCGACTTTTCGAGCACGTAGTAGCTTTAAACTAAAACCAGGTGAATTGTCATATAAGCAAAAATAACGACAAAATGCCGAATGGCATCATACTAAATTTTCACGATCTTTTTTAGAAAATCCGAGGTGCTGAAAATTATACAGTATGTTTTCTATAATTTTAAAAAGCTGCTGTAAAAATATTACAGTTGTAGTCCAAATAGATTTTAAGATATTCGCATTTAAAAATAATACTCATTTTCAATTGATTTTCTTAATATTCTGCATATTATTTAGATCTATATTTTATGTATTTATATGTATAGGTTGATTTTGCCATTTTTCATACAAAGTGGTACAAATACTGTCAAAAGCTTTTTTGTAAACTTTGTAAGACATTTTTTCTTCTTTTTTTTCTATCGTTCTTATAATTCTTTCTATCGTTTTATCGATATCCGACGTTATTTTGTGACGTAATTAAAATTATATACTGAAAAGAAGTGTTATCCCCCCGGGGGTGGCGGCGGAGTCCAAATTATTTTCACTTTTGAACTTGAGGGTAAATGAACCTAATTCCACAATTTCATGCAAAACGGAGCACAGTAAAAAAATTCAGAGGTTACACCCATTTTTGCTCTCCATTTTCTGCACTGTATCGCAAAGACAGTTATGGTAACATTTCTTTGACATTTGTGCGTTTTCTATCTAGAACATCTGACTGCACAGCAACCACGTAGGATTTTGAAGTTTTTAATACCACTTTATATAGAAACTACATAACATAGCCTTGCCGTAACATTGGTCTATTTTATGGCAGAATCGGCTCCCTAATTTTTTATTAACCTGAACAATTGCTTGTTTTATAACTGATAATGTTTTGACTGACAAGAAGATGTTTGTGTATGAACAATACGAAGCAAGGAATAATTTTTAATTCTCCCCACAGAACGTGTTCGAACGCCTCGTGGATATAATCTGTGACAAAATGTCCGAAAGCCTGGACTCAGACCCAACACTGGTCGCAGGTGGTAACAAGGGCACCCGCCTGCAAGATCCTCCGCAAGGACCAACCGACACGAATTGCAATTGCTAATTAGTCCCTCGACGAAAGTACGCACGCACAAAGAGTACTACCGGCGGAATCGATCGGACACCAATTCAAAGAAAAATTGACAGAACGATGTGTAAAATTCGAAAGCTGTAACATCATTCATTGAAAATTAAAAATATCCAAAATTCACGAATTTGGCACATCGGAATAAATGACAAATCGACGACTCTTCAAAGAACGCATACAACTTATGCGACAAAATTTGGTGTTAACAGGTAATCAGCTATAATATGAAACAACTACTGAGTATTTTACCATGTAAATTTATTTAGCATTTGGTTATATTGTTTTCTTATGATTACCTGGTATATGCAAAATGAATTCTGAGTACTGAGGTAAAAATGGTAATTGTCAATTGTGCGCATTTCACAGTTATTTGGATACTAACTCTAGTATTCACTTTCACTTTAATAAAAATTATTGAATTCAAAAGATAATTTCAAATAAATTTAAAAAAATATTTGGTATGTTGTGATAGATTTATATATACATACAACAAAGCTTCAAAATTTTATATCAATTTTATTTATAAAATTGTTTCCCAATTTTATTGCATTAAAAATTGGTTTATTTTGTTAACGTGTGAAACTGCGCAAGTAAAATTCTCTCAATTACGTATACACACATAGGTATTAAAATTACAAGTAATGGTTTTATGTATTAGGGACTTATTTTATATTTTATTAATAAGTCGACTATAATTAAATTAAAATTGCATTTACATTCTTTTGACTGATAAAAAAGATTACGGTTCTGATACAATATCTAACTATCAAATTCAGAGCTATATTCCATATTACTAAATATTTCTATTCAACCTGTATACGCTTTAACTCAATCAACAGCATCATATAGTTCATGTACGTATTTTCATAGTAAAAAAATTCATATAGATATCGAAAATTTGTACTTTCGCATTGTAGTCAGGCCGCGGTGTTCTAGCATGTTCTAATATTTACACAGGGCTTGGTCGAAAAGGTCTGAATTTAAGAAAATTTTGGAAAACTAGGATTGGACATTACAGGGACTAATAGAAATAACAACAGCTAAACATTACATTATAGAAAAAAATATTTATAAAAAACGATTATGTTGTGATAAATTGAAGTCGAATTTAATCCTTTGCACACCACAGTCGTATAGAGTGCAACACCGGGGTCTTTGTAGTCCAAACATCAAGGGATTTTTAGTGCATTTATTAGTTAAACAGATTTGCGATTATTTGCAAGACTGTAAATATGAAACATTTTGTACTATTGTTCAAAATTTTGTACAATATCCACAAATGACTATTTAAAAAAAGTTGAACTAATAGTAAGATACAATCAAATTTAAACAAAGATCTACAAGATCTTTACTGATCCCAAAAATATTGAGTGGAATGTCGATTGAATTGGAACAAAGTTTTTGATTTACGAACGTTATAAAAGTATGGTTTACCCATGGTTTATCAAATAGCTGATTGTGAGTAAAATTAATGATTCGTGGGTCCTTTTCCTAAATTCGACCTTTCTTCCAAGCCTCGCTTTGTAGTACTTACTAAGGTTTCTGAACAATATTTGCATTTGTGAGTCGGGACCACAACTCGAAGGACTCGGGTTCACTATTAATTCACTAATCTTTCAATAAAAAAAAAGCATCTATCTGACTTCGCCCGCAAATTCGTACTCTAATACATAAAACTAGATTAGAAACTTAGACAAATCGAGACGAAAAAAAATTACTATTGTTAATACTTATGGAATTTGATTTCAAATTATTTTTCGGTAGATGAAAAACCCAGATATGTATGTGCATATATATTTGTATATATATACTTAAAACCATGGGTATACGTATGATGTGTATATGTAAAAATTTATGTACGTACATGTGTGTAAATTTAAAAAAAAAAATGACCTAAATTATTGTGAGAAATTGTTTATGTATTAAGTACAACATGCGGTGTTCCCGCTCATAAAGTTATATAGAATCATGGACGAATGTAAATAACAATAAAAATACAAGAACTGATTCAAGTATGTCTGAAAAAATCATATCGACTTTTAATTTTTCGACTGCATGGGTTCATAGTTACATTAAAACATTGTAAAAATAATGCAGAACTGAGATAATTTATCCATATGGGGTCAATTTTCTGATAAAATAGACTGTAACATAACGTTGTCATGGCAACACTATGTTACCCTCTTTTATTCATATAAATTGGTAGTAAAAACTGCCAAAACACTATGTATTTACTGCGTGATCAAGCGATTTATGCATAATACTGAACTTCACGTTTGTGTTACAAATGCACATCCGAAAGATGCAGTTATGTTAACATCCTTTCTTGGTGTTTGTACGTTTTCCAGGTTGGGTTTTATATCTAAAACGCCTAACCACTGCATAGCAAGTACATAGAATTTTGACAGTTTTTACTATCAATTTATATGTAGAAAGAATATGTAGTAGAATGTTACGGTCTATTTTATCGGAGAATTGGCTCTATATTGATGTTCTGCATTTGAATATTCAAATGGATTGAAATGCTAAGCAATTATTTTGAAAATATTGAGCTAATTGAGTTGAACTATTGCCACTACCACGATTAACATATAATAGATTGACTTATATTTTGTAAAATTTGTTTTAAGAATTTACATTAAAAACTACCAAGTGAATGAATTCATTAGTTCATAAATTATATGATTTTTTTAATTTTTTTTTACATATATTTAAAATTTTTTTACATATATTTACACATATTTTAAATTTTACATAATTTTAAAATATGAATAAATATAGAATGCCAAATATAAATCTATTTCATGAATAATAAATTCACGTTCCATTTGAAATGTTGATTTTTGTTTGAATACTAAATGGCAATACTGCTACAAAAGTAATTCCTATCATGAGAGACAAACATTATGTAATAGTGATTCATCGTTGAATAATATATGAAATAATTGAATATGAACGTGGATAATACAATTTCTATGGATATATAGATTGTATTTATATTTAGCCAAAGCAATTAAAACTAAATATTTATTTCAGTGAAATTTATAAAACTATAAAACAAAAGATTAATCCTCTTAAATTAACTGTTATTGTTAGGTAGCATTTTGGGACAGCAACATAAATATTTTAAAAACAACTATATTGTTACAAAAATATATTTTGAATTTCTTGGATTTTAATCATAAATTTGGTGTATTTTACTCACTTTTAATTAAATTCTTATTGAAAAACATTATAAAATATAAGGCATTCCTTTTGATCTGTATTTTAATTGTTGAGGCTTTGGCAATAGATCAACAAAATATTAGTTCAATAAAAAAATATTTACAACATGATTAAACAGACAATATTTTCATTTGAATATAATATGCAAAAACTTGGATAAATTTCCTCATTATCAGTTCACTCTTTATAAATAAGCACCCAAAGTGAAGACATAGAAAGACGTGTATATATGTATATATGTATATATATATATATAGATATATATATACGTATTTTGAGTTATATATAAAACTGGTAACCATACAAAATTGTAACTGCTTCATAAAAAAAATTACAATCATCCCCTCAACAATCAATGATGGTCTTTGTAAATATTGGTTGAAAAAACGCTTCAATGAGTTTTCTAAACTATATTTTTAACAACGAACGCTTATGCAAAATGTCAGAGAAAAAATCACAAATAGTCATAATAAGGAAGAAATAAATAAATTATGGGGTAATTCGAAAGAGGCATATTTTTGCACATTTTTGAAAAAAATTGAAAATTCACATTGATAAAGTTATGTCAATATACATTTTAGAAGTACGAGTAAGACCAAAAAAGTAAATATACAATAATTTGTTCTATATTAGCAGGGTCTATACAAAATTATTTATTATTGAAGACTTGAAAGACTTGAAAACTTGTAAAATTATTTTACCATTGACTTCGTATAATATTTACACAAATTAAATAATATTTATGTACTATAAAAAATGTGACCATTATACCCGGACGTCCAATCACTGGATTTGCAATCGATTTGAATATTTCTAAGTACTACCAAATAATGGAAATAGGCGCATTTATTAAAAAAAAAATGTGCAAAAATTTTACCTTTGCCTAATTATTCCTAATTCCTCTATCTAAAAATGCCAAACAAAATTCCACATAAATTTAAAATTGGCTTTTATTCGAATATGGGGTGAATGTATAACTAAAACCAGACAGTATATTGTCCATATACCATATACACTTGAAAATATATTAGTGAACAATAATTAGATGTTAATTTATATATAAAATATATTAGTAGTAAATGAACAAAAAATTATGAACATCTCATTGACCTATCGTGAGATTATCTATAAATTAGGTAAATGATTTAAATAAAGGCTAATCGACTTTTGATCTCAAATTGAGAAATGATTTACATGATTTGAAGACAATCTCTTTAATTCATCTATTTGTGTTCCTCATTAAGAAATAAAAATTATTATATCAATTGAAATGATGTACTGAAATTCCAGTTGTCGTATGTAAAATTATGTAATTGTTTTAAGGATAAAAAATACTTCACACACGCGTAGGGTAAATCACTCACTATTAAGCTTACATCGAGAATGATTCTGAACCTTCAGAAATAATAAAAAAAATAATTTTGTTAAATATTATATAAATATATATTGCATTCCTCTCAACTTGAAAGTATTCAAGATTTCTACATTCCATTGCGTTCTATTTTTAACAACTTTAAGACCTCCAAAATATCGTAGATGTGTTTTAAATTTGATTATTAATCAATTAGGTTCAGTATCATCCTTAAAAAACATAATTAACATTATGTGTACGTGTAAAATCTGTAAATAATGAATATTAAACTTAGGTGTGTGTAAAGATGTTATACTTCTGCCCTAAAATGTTATTTATTTCATAAATTATTATAAGTTATTCTGCGCTCAGAACGCGCCAAAATACAAATTAGACGATTTTAAAATATTAAATCTACCTTCAAATAAAATAAAATTTAATTGACGTTTATGTGATAATTTTATGTATTGAAATATTTCACATTACCAATTGGCTTTGTTGAAAATTTAGGTCAAATGATAAATAAAAGATACTTTATGTAATATATATTTGTCATATTTCAAAGCGCATTGCTAATAAAAAAATATGTCTGAATATAATACATGTTTTATTAAATGGTAATAAATTTTATTACCATTTTCTAAAATATTGATATTTCAATTTGTTAATCATTTACGATAAACAGTATCATGCACAAAGTATTATGGTTCTACTGGTAAATAAATTTAAAATTTACAATAATATACGTTATTAATAAGATTTCGTTTCAATATAATCAGTCCATGTATCAGTGATTTCCAACCTATGGGGCGCTTAAGGAGCGCAAGGCTGTTGCATGCAGCTGTTACACAAATACTATTTTCGAGCAAAAACAAAAAAAAACGAATTCGTGTCAAATATGATTTTTAACACGTTAATTGCCACAATAATTTCAGAAAAAATTTTATCTGGGCCATGGTAACTTTATTAAATAATAAAATGAAAAATGCATCAGATAAACTCAATGTATCAAAAAACAATTTTTTTATGCATAATCAATTTGACAGACTGATTTAAAATCAGCTGGAAGATAATAGGCGTGAGCATCGCTGTCACGAAGAATATAAATTGGCTTGATGAGATCTTGCAGAGTTGGTTGCTCACCAAGTAGATTAATCTGCCCATCTATCTTTTCTGCGGCTGTTAATTTACAGTCGGAAGTATATTTCGTTATGTTCCCTTCAATGATGCACCTATTATAATATGCATCCAAATCCTCGCCTGCATTTCTATCTGGGCATTTTAAATTTTCCATTTCATTGGACAATAGCAAAGAATTCCGTCCAACCATTTTCGCATCAAGTGGACCTCCCACCAATTTAGGAGCGTGCTTCTTTAATCTATTCAAGTAAGGTAAAATTAACATTATATCATTACGCAAACCTTCTTCAAAATTATAATCAGCTGGAATTATCTCATCAGCATTCATTAATAAATTGTTTGCCCATATAGCACCAGGAATAGCGCAATTCTCATGGTAACATGTCCTGACGTTTAGGCTAGTCTGTGGGTCAGATAAGGCGACAACAGTGTCGCGAAGGTTTGAAAAACAAGTTGATTCGGGCCTAGGTCTTATGACGCCCTGCTCTGTTGTTGGAGATGCAGCCATAACAGGCAAATAAATTTTATCCTCATGCTTTAAAATACCTATAGCATCTATAATTCGTTTAATAGGTGTTGGAACAAAGCTAAACGATCGGATAATTGTTCTAAGAAATTCTGCATTGAGGCCTCTATGTGTATTAATATGATCTGCAAATCTTGGCACAATAGGAAAATGCTCAACAACATTCATTAATTTTGCTTCAAATAGAGCAAGATATGCTCTGAACTGAGCGTAGATATTGGGAACACGGATATTCTCATCGTATTGTTTTGCTACATAGGTGAGGTGCGTCGTGCCGACTCCAATACCTCTGCTGGTCACTGACAACATTTTTGATTGTAATACCTGCTTTTCGGCTAATCGGTTGTACTCGTCCATATCGACTCGTTTACTTTGTGATGGACTAGGTCTTCCTCGTCCCCTACTGTTTTGAAAACCGCTTCCACGGCGTGTTTTTTCCTGATATTGAGGTCTTTCCTCACATTCGTCACTATATCCGTAGGAGTGATGACCTCCTCGGTTTGGGAAGCTACGCTGGTTATAACCGGTAAAGTTGCTCATTCTGATGACTGGCCAGGTGGAAATCCGAACCTGAAAAATTTTTTATGTCCCACATATATAACTAAAAACATGACCCTTTATTAAAACATTTTTCTCGATGTCAGACATGGCTAATGTAGAACTTCATAGCGTCAGATACATATAACTGACATGGCAATTAACGTGTTAAAAATATTATACGATAATTTTTACACCCATTAGAATAGGTGAAAAAATACCATATAATGATAAAAAATATTAAAGAAAATTAATAAATAAAAAATTGTTTTTTATTTATTATAAAAGGCAAACCAGTTGCTTTCAAAATGCTCCTTTCGAATAGCAACCAAAAACGAATCGAGTCGAATTGGTGTCTAAATTTTTTTTTATTATAATTATATAATAATTTTTACAAGTATCTTAATAGGTGTAAAAACTATCGTATAATAATAAAAAAAATAAAAAATATTTTTTATTCATTATACCAGCGGTTTCCAACCTGTAGGGGCGCGCCTCCTCAGGGAGCGCCTGGCTGTTACAAGGAGCGCGCGTGCGGCACTTTCCAAAAAACTATTTTCGAAAATAAACCAAAAATTTTGAATTAATATAAAAAATAAAGCAAAAAATTATGTTTTATGCATGTTTTTACATAATATAAGGTTGTCAAATATCTCCCTTCCGCCTTTTTGTATTATAAACCAAGAGCAAAAAAGCGGAAGGGAGATATTTGACAACCTAATATTGCATATTAATTTGAAATCTGATAATATCAGTTGAGTATTTATAAAAATAAAATTGTTGAAAAAAATAAGGAAGAAGCAACATTTTTTTTTATTAGAGCGGGAGGGCGCGCATGGCAAAAAAGGTTGGAAACCACTGCATCATTCCTACTACACCCATTAAGATAGGTTTAAAAATAATGGCATATTAATAAAAAAAATATAAATGAATAAATAAAAAAATTAGCTTTTGTGCATTATAAAAGCAAACATTTGTTTTCGAAATACCATTTTTGAATACAAACCAAAGAAGTTTCAAAAAAAAATATCCTTATTAAAAACCTATCTTAATAGATGAAAACATTATCATAATAATGGAAACGAATTATAAAAAAATTAATTAAAAATTATTTTTATGCATTATATAATTTACATACTAGCTTATTATTTAAATTATAGTATCGGTTCAAATGAACAATTTGTGAAATTAATTTATTAGAAAATTTATTAGAAACGCAAAGTTTGGAAATCACTGATTTACATGAAAATCCAAAAGACGACACCGGTATGATTAATTAATAATATATTATTTATTCTCAGATAGTATTTTTAATATCGAACTCATATGTAAATAAATCGTAATTGAGCAAGGTCAAACCAAAAATGTATGGATTAAAAAAGGCCGCCAATCGGCAGAGGGCAAATTTACACTAAAAATTATTATTTCCCCAATTTATCATATAATCCATTCCATAGAAATAATTAGTTATAATTTCTAACATTTATGTAAATGTTTCCATATGTATCATATCCGTAACACTTACATGTATTAATGTGAGTTTGCATATCATTCGAGAAAATGAACATCTCGCTAAAAATTTCATTATTAATTAAAAAAAAGCTATTAAAAAGTAGGGCAATTATAATTATTGTTGTACATTATTATCATTGCTGTAAGAATATGTGAAGGGAGCGAATGATTAAACTATTTGTTTAAATAATGTAAAACATTTAAGATGTATAAAGATGTGTGAAGCATATTACCGCATACATTTCTTGATGCAACGGAAGAGTAATCTAGTAGAAAAATGGTGGAATCAAATTAGAAAATGGGATAATGGAAATAAAAAACTTAAGACCCTTAAGGGGCACAACTAGTGTGAAATTTTCAAAAAATCGAATTTTCAATTTTTCCATATTTCGATAGGTTATAACCTTTAAAAATAATATACCAAAATTTTAAATCGATATCTTAAATAGTTTTTGAGATACAGCCATTTAAAGAGTATATATATAGTATATAGTATAACGATCATTTTATCTTCAAATGCGTTTTTCTCGAAACAGCATTTTCCGAATTTGCTGCAGTGATTACTAAAAAACAAATGATCCGATCACTATCAATTTTTTTTTACATGTTCTATATATAGTTCTCCGTAAAATGCACTACCTATTTTTTGATCGGATCAAAAATCGAATTTTGGCAGTCCAAAAACGACCAAAATTATGGGTAAAAATCGACTTTTTTTAAAAAAACGCCGTCATTTTGTCAATTTTTTATTTTTTTTCTTTATCGTAGTTCTTTTTACAGACAATATTATCTAGTTTAACGAGATTTTTTTTTTAATTTCATCCACGTAAAAGGCCGGAATCACTGCAGCAGTGAAGGGCGGTGTTGGAGATTGACGATAACTTAAAAAATATTTAATTTTTTTCTTCAAAAATTTTACTATGTATTCTTAAAACATGTATAAATATATTCCTAAAATTTTGAAATGATTGATAAAGTAGTTTTTTTAATATAAATTCCCAAAAATCACATTTTTTTAGGCGGTTACACTAGTTGTGCCCCTTAAGTATTTTGGGATACTCGGTTTTTGAAATAGTGTCGATAAATTACCAATTCTACTAGTGAACTCTTCTTCAGCCGTGTTAACGCCATTGTCAAATAAACGTCAGACACCCAATCCCTTATTATAAAAAATCTGATCTTGTATTGCAATGGCGTAAACCGGCACAGAAAACTCAATAAAATAATTGTTTGTATATTATATGCCATGGTATGAAATTAATGCATAATAAAAACATATAAATATGGGGCAGAAATATTCGTTGAACATTTTTAATTACAGAATATCTAAGTAAATGAAATTTTATTACTTACTTTGTCATTTTTGTACTGGCACAACCTTTAATGTCACTCACCACTTACACACTGATATGAAGCACGTGGTTCAGGATGCACATGTCGCATCGAATTTGCATGGCCAGTGGAGGAACTGGAATAGGTGTAGGCGGAGGCGAAATTGTGGTTCTTGAGAGCTCCTCTGCTTCTCCATAAAGACAACCTTAAATTACCTAAGCTGATAAATAAAGATTAAATGGGATTCACTGGTTATTGCTAATTAAATTATTTCAGAAATTACACAAATTTTAAATAAATAAAATCTTTACGAGGAGTCCTGCAGCGCTAGGCCGTCGTCGTTGCCCACTGCCGCCTCTGTGTTCATCATTTGACACAGAACTTCGTCCAATCAGAACGCATAAATTTGGCGCAATTCTAGTTTGATTCAAATATGAATTTCAAAGGTTTTTGACTCAAAGCCGAAGAAAATGATATTTTATTAACTTCCCGTAGGGTAAATTATAGTAATCGCAAAAAAATCGAAAATGAAAATTTTTATATATCTTTACGCTTCAAAACCTCCTGGACATTTTAGCATACCCGTAAATAGATGTATGTGTGTGTGTGTGTGCGGATCAACCGATTTGAATAATTTAATTTTGATTCATATTGATAAGGAGACGTGCTGATTAGTTTTTGACAAAGGCAGGTCTAGCGGTTCCCAAGATACGGGACAAAAAGTGCCAAAAACGGTACCTCAGTTTTTAAGAGAACGAAGAGTCCGATTTTGGTACGGGAAGTTCCAGCAATTTGCCTTAAGACACGATGCCATACATCACTAGTTTATTGAACATCAATTAGAACTTTAAGTGTTCTATGAGCTGTTTTAAATTATATTTATTCCTAGGTAACGACGTTATTATAAGGCAACCCATCGATTGACCTCAGATTTGTTCTTGTTATTTTACAGTAATCATAACTGTTACATTTTCTATAAGCTATATTGAGTCACTATTTCTAAGACGTTATTGATTGTATTTTACTAGATATAGTTTTATTTATAATACTTAATGCTATTATTACACCCCGCGTTCGCTTTTCTATTATTAATAATCCAGCAGTACCCCCAAAAGACTATTTTAACTTGGAAATAAATTTCTACCTATATTAAGTAAAACCAATATCAATACTGCTTGATATCAGATTGTCCAACCTGGTCTCTTCAGTTGATAAACAGAAGGGTAGATGAATTCACAAATTTCTGGTACGTATGCTCGACATAATATTAATGATTATTTAATCATGTTGCAATAAAATTCAAACTACGCTTTATATAATATTTTATTAAATGTATTAAATTTTAGTTATATGCGCATTAATACAAAATTAAATAATTGCACAAGTAAAAAATGTGAACAAACCAATGTCCGACCATCACTGAAACAAATCAAATAATTATCATTATATTTTAGCTTGATATTGGACGGGCATCACAAGAATTGCACAAAGTTATGCAAAGAGACTATTTGTTCTTAATTGTATTTACTGATTGTGTTTCAATAATTGTGTTTTAATGATCAATCTACACAAAATTAATGATAATCTCAATTGGTACAGTCTTATAACTTAATGTTTAATAAACGATTTAATTTCTTATGCTATGCCCATGAGTTATCATAAAGCTACTTCCATTGTTAGACCTAATATTACTTTGTACAAACTTATTCTATTTTCATCAAATTTACACTCGATTAAATTTTGAATTCATGTAACAATGAATTGTGCAGTGTGTATGAGGCAAAACATAATTTGTGCTACACAGATTCATAACTTACATATCACATTTTCTGCAAAAGCTTAAAGATTAAATGAATTCATATTAAGAATTGTTATTTCCACACATACAATTATATAAATTAAGAGAGCTAGCTCGCATTGTGACCATGAATAATCATAGCAATATTACCCAATATTAAACATTCACAGATGTTAAAATTTTAATATTTTCAAATAAAAGTAGCTTCATGTTCACTCTAGCAGGATCAATATATGTAATTCTAACATGTATTAGGCAGAGATCATATCTAATATTGCTGATAGTAGCGTGCTTTCGCAGCCTTCTTAAAATAAAAATGATTATTGGCAATCTAATCAACTGGGCTATATAACTCATAACACAAAATGAAGAAGTGTAGAGCCTTTTTTTTTAATGAATCTTTTTGCTTTCATACACGAAGAACAAAAGCTGATTGTCTACATTTTTATATTATTCATTTATTTAGAAGAATGAGTTATGCAGGCGAGTTGATTAGATTTGTTATACAAAATTCAAACACCTTATGAAACAAGAGCTTTTGCATAGCAAATAAGACAAATTAGTTCGATTAAGGTATGACGACAACATCAATATACAAAAAATAAAGACTAAATCCTTATTTTTTATATACTTATTTAGTCAAAGCCATATACCATACTCACTTCATAAGAAGTATAAACTATACTATAAACATTTTAGATGGCAAAACCAAACAATAATTAGGTGTGTTTACAATGACTTGTTTGAACTGTATATCAAATACATAATTATACAAAAACTATAAAACATCAGAAACAAATCCACATTAAAACATTTAAATTGACGTAAACAGTATCAGCTAAAGTAGTACGTGTAACCTATGCAATAACTAACATCCCATGATTTTATTCACAAATAATGTATTAGCCAAATCACACCAGAGAATTATCATAGAAAATTGACTAATTAAAAGGCGATTAGTCAAACTCAATCAACAAACTCTCTAATATAAAATGGCTCCAACTCCACCATCAATATAGTTTCATATATGTTATAATTGCAGAAATTTAAACAATCACAGATCATTCATATAATATTTTTTGCAGATATAATATTATTTGGTTCATATATAAGATCAAAATAAACTATTTAAAATGAATAAATGTACTTAAATTTCAAACTTCCAAGAACAAAACATTAATATTTAAATTTGCATTTAAAAATGTTTGGCTCAAACACATTAATTTACATTATTACTATTTCTATATATTACAATTCTAAAGAACCTATTTTAATACAAAATTATTTTTATAATAAAAAACACCACAAATAGTGGTCCCATATATTTATAAAAATTTTTGTGCAATGATTAAAACTTGAGAACTAGCTCAAAATTAATACAAAAAATCTGAGAGCCATTTACAGTGACTCTATATAATATTTCAAAATATTATAACTGTCACACAATTTAAAAGCAAAACATCAAATGCATTAACTATTATGAAGAATTGTATCAAATCAATTGTTAGACCTTTGTCATTAAGCTAATATTAAGTCTAAATGCACTATTCACAGATAGCAAATGTAAATTCATCATTGTATTACAAGCAATGCACAACTTTTACTAAAGCATTACTTGAATTTAAGTTTTACAAACGTAAATTAAACTAACGTAATTAAACATCTCACAACTCTGAACAAATATGAAATATCTTCTGACCGACCAATGTACAGTTGTGATGCATAGACAATAATTTACAGAGCACTGGGGATATTTATTCCTTATTCAAAACTAACTAAGTTAAGACAATAACTATAACGCTAAGGTAATCAATAAAAAAACTAACTTAACCAAAAAAGAATTCCTATTAATTGTGCTAATATACATAGATATACAGACAATCCTCTACAAAATGATATACCAAACATTGTAAATGTAACAAAATTCAACCCTTTCGGTAATTGAAAATAATATGATTCAATTCATTCATATCTAGTCATTTAGGCTTAAATATTTTGATCTACAAAATATTAAAATATTCAAGTTAAGCAAATTTTAATATAAAAATACTAATTCTAGAATTACAACAATCTCAAAAGAATTAAGTATTAAAATATTTGTAATTATATCACTTAGAGCAATTTCAAAATGTCATCAAAATAATTACGTGTTAGTATAATAAATATAATTATTTTATATTCATTTGTCAATATTTCTTAAAGAGTACATTTAAATAATAATACAATAGAAGTAGTGCTACCATAAATGAGGACTGTCTATATTCTATTCTGACTGCCATATCGATTCCCATATGAACTATAATAAAATTATCACAATTTAATCTACACATATATATGTACGCAATAAAACATAGATTCATCGATTGGTATGTATGCATGCACATGCAAGATATGAAAAATATGTTAAGGATCACGATGCTTAAGAATTGCTAGCAGATATATAAATTTTCACTTATATATATATATATATATATATATATATATTTAATAATTTCACATTTAGTAAATAAATATATAAAAAACACTTAGAAGGAAAACAGTTTCCATATTTAAAATACAATTTTTTAAAATGTTAGCAAATTCTTTAATTATTGTTCTTAATATTTCATATTTTACATGAAGCTGTATAAATCGCATATGAGTACATGTGTATGCCTACATAATCTAGCCGTATTAGCAAACACTAAAATAATGATAAAATAAAGCATAGCATTGATATTTTTCTAAATTAATGCAAGTCAGTTAGATTAATTTTAAAAAATGTTTAAAGCGAGTTAAATATTACTCTCAGTCAGATATGAACATATTAAATAACTAAATTAGTTGGCAATAAACTAATAGATAATTGCTAGGTCTTGCAAATAACAAATAAATAACGTGAAGCACATTTTAAAAGATTAATTCTAATTTAGCACATTAAAAAAAACTAGAAAATAGTAAAATTAGAGCAATTTAGCAATTCATTTAAAATTAAAAATCGCATCAATGTTACAGAAATAATTGAATCAAACAAATAAAGGTGTTCGAATAAAAAATGTGAAATCAAATATTTTTACTGTTTAATAATTAAGAGCTATCTTTTATTATATTCATTATTATTATCATATACCAAACTTGATATTAAACTGTAAATCGATTAAAAAAATAGCGCTTCAAATTTTTTATTTGTATTTCATTGTCCAAATGCAACTGAAAAATTTTATATTCCTTAGGACGATCAGTCGTACCGAAACGATTAAATGAATTATACACATCGTCAGTCAACAATAAAATGCATTTATCTAAAACAAAAAAAAATCTACGTTCACTGAGATGCACAGAGATCAATTTGTAAATGATCTTATCACAATAATCTACCTAAAATGATTGTTTGTGAAAAATTATTTAATGACTACTGAAATTATTAAATATGTATAAACAACATACATACATACATACATACAACATACATACATACATATATATATATATATATATATATATATATATATATATATATATATATATATATATATGTGTGTGTGTGTGTAGAATATATATGTAATTTAGGTATGTATATATGGTGTCCCAGAACTCATCATCAAGTTAAAATGGGCTAATATTATTGATAATAAATGTCCTCAAAACAAATTAGAAAAAAAAATCTCTTGTTTGGAAATTATGAGCTTTGAAGTGCAGAACCTAGAACTTAAAATTAATGAAAATTAACCACAGTAACTGACAAATGGTCACAATTTCACCAAAGCTCTAGACTGCATCTAAAAGCTCTTAATTCCAAAGCAATGAGAGAAACTTTTTTTCTGAATTGTTTCAAAAGGACATCTATTATCAATACTATCACCCCGGTTGATGTTGAATTCTGGGACACCCAAAATGTATATGTTATATATATATATGCAATTGAATTAAAATGTAAATGTTATAGAATGATTTCCGCCAGATCAGCAACTCAACAACAAAAGGCAGTGTTATCAATTTACTTATGTGCAAATTGAATGCATCATTTAAATTAATAAAAGCTATAAATGTAAGCTGCACTAAGTGCACATCAAATCAGTACAAATAACACAAACCAGTTCCTTAAAAACTGCTTACTCCAAAAAATGTATTCTAATGTCGGATTATTAAAACTATTTACCTAACCATGGCATTACTAGCTTCCTTGCACGCCTTGGATATTGGGAAGTTTATTATTAGAATTATTTAAGTTGTGCCTAGACCGTTCATCTGAAGAACTGGACACCTGCCCGCGTAGCTTACTATTCGTATAAGTAGCACTAGGAATAGATGCTTTGTTGACAACTGCGCTCGTTTTAGTAGCACTACTTGAAGAAGTGGTTGTAATAATTGTCGATGAAGGCAATTTTGCACATTCATAGCATTTGTCATTTGGTGGTCTGGGCAGACGTCGTCGCAACCAAGCATGACGTAAAGCGGCACTTGGGGTCATGCGCTTTTCTGGATCCCATTCCAGACAACGACTGATAAAGTCTAGGAATAGCTGGTCATTGCACCCTTTCAAAGCCTTCTTTAAATCTTTGGAACCAGGAGGACCTCTTGGCTTGCCTCTTCTTGACAGACCACCATTCAACACTGTAGTTCCATCTCCTATAAAAGAAATAAAATTAGTACATTAATTATTTACAAGTTTAACCCACGCCACTCAGCACTGATTCAAAACAATCTACCATAAACTCGGTGCAGCATTTTGACAAAAATATACCTACTGTAAACTTATATTGTGTATATTATGTAATTTGTTTTATATGAATTTGTGGACAATTACAATTAGGGAAGGTAATACCGGTAAACCGAATTACTGGTAAACCGCCCGATTTTTCGGCGGTTATTTTACCGGTATTTATACCAAAAATACCGGTATTTTCGACATTTTTACATAAGCGCTATTTGATACATAATACCCTAAAGTTTAAATATTCTCGGAACAAATTTATCTTTAAATTCCATAATCGCATAAACAGCTATATCTTCAAGTGATTCTATGTGATAAACAAATGTCAAATATTATCTCAACTCGTCATTAAACTGAATATTTATTGCTTTCCAAAGGGCTTCATATCGTGTTACAATAAATAGAATTGGACTGATAGATAATGATGTTTGTTCCATCTTTTGTAAAAATGTAACGGTTTTTTAAGTGATATTTGCGACAAAATATTTTGTATCATACAGATTACTCCTGCGTAATCTTTATTTTTTTCCAACTATATACAGAATAATTATGATAATTACTAAATATTTTTGCTTCTTATTACAATTTTAAAATATTATTTTTCGAAAACCTTTCGAAGTTTGAAAATACTATATAAGCATCACATTGTTTTAAATAACAATACTCAACAATTATAGTAACTTTAAAATTAGTGTAGAAAAATTATTTTTTTCAATATATTGGAGATTATGCTAATTTAACACATCGGATACAGACAATACAGTTTATTAAATAATATAATATGACCTTTTATGATTTTTTTGGTCTTTCTTACTCAT